ATTGATTCATGTTTGTGGCTGTAATGTGACAAAATGTGGGAAAGTTCAAGGGGGCCGAATACTTTTGCATCCACTGTATCTGATCAACAACCCAGTGAGCAGGAAGCAGAGTGTTTGCGGTAAACAGGCTCCAGTCAGTATATTTGTTTCCCAGTCGTTTACGCTCACAGTCTGATGTTTACCACTCTGGACTGTCATCGTCATTACGTCTCATGGTCGTTAAGGACATTTCTAATATGATGAATGTCCTTCATGGCCCTAATGCAGTGCTCATGCTGAACACACTGTGTTGTTGTCTTTGCTGTGTCCATTGTGCTGTATCATATTCTGCCTGCATCATTTCAGAAGAAAGGGATGACAAGAACCACTGATACTCGTTAATCTACAAATAAAGCATTCATATGTGAAACTAGGCTCCAAAGTTGAGCATCCTGGCCTGGACTCAGGAGGTGTCCTGTATCTAACAGCAGTGCTAAGCCTGATGCTTTAATAATGTGTCATCCCTCTCTGCAGCTTACTCTGCTGCCATGTGGAAAAGTCTGTACGTGACATTTAAATCGTTGGCTTTTTTTAGCCTCATGTAAAGAAACACTTGAAACACTGTTTCAGTCAGTCGGCTCTGCTCGAGTAGAAGAGGCAAAAACAAGAAATGGAGGTTCGTGGAAACGTCAAAGCTGACAGTTTTCATGGAGCGTACTGACTTGTTCACATGACAGGACGTGTCTGCGTTCAACAGTAATACGACTCATCCTGTCACATGACAAACGTCAAAGCTGAGCTTAAGTAGTTACAGCAGGTGGAGCAGGTGTTGCTGATGTAACGCCGTCGGCGCTCCACCTGTGTCTTCTGAAAGGAGTCAGAATGAAAGTGAAACATCAGAGAGACTCTTTAACCACTGAAGACCGAACGTCTCTGCCCACACAAACAACAGTCGTTACTGTATAATGATGGCAGACATGACTCAGAATGAGTTTTCACTTTTTGGCAGTGGCCACGCTTTGGCTCGTTCATCCCAGCGTGGATGTGCACACAGTCACCGATCCTGCTTTGGTCGTGTTAGCGCTGCCATCTGGATTTTTCTGTTGTGTTTGTCCTCATTAAACATCTTCTGCTGGCATTGATGCAAACCATGATTTGTGAGCCACAGAACAGCACGCACTGATGATTAGTAATGCTCTGCTGCTTCCTTTATTACTGCGAACATGAAGCAGTTTGGTTTGTCTGGAAAATCTGTTCTTCCACAACCTCTAAAGGTCAGTGGACATGGCAGACCCAGCACTGTTGAAACATTTAATACATACGTATAGAAAGTGCAGCCCTGTGTTTTCATTTGCTTTCTTGTCTTCTCAACCTTAATCGTTGCCTTTCAGCGTAGTTGTTTCCTTCCATCAACCTGCTCTCACTTTTGCCTCCTTGTTGAAGGACCTGGATAAGACCCAGACTGAAATTATGCGGCACCACACCAGCATCAGCGAGCTGAAAAGGAGTTTCATGGAGTCTGTGCCGGAGTCTCGGCCCAGCGAGTGGGATAAGCGTCTCTCCACCAACTCTCCTTTCCGCACGGCGAGCATCAACGGTCAGCTCCAACCAGCAGTGAGTCCGACGAGCTCAGCTCATGTTTGCTTTGTTTTACTCACCTGAATCACACAAAGTTACCTTTGAAAGCTTTTCCGAGACAGGCACGCTGACGTGTCGAGCAATCGAGCAGTTCACATGTATAGACACACTCTCGTGTTACTGGGATGCAGGAACACAGACACTGTGTTGTTGACTGCTGATGGTTTTTCTTGCCATGACAAGTCAGGATGTCTGCTTTGAAACAGCCGCTCTGCACATACTGATGCTCTGATTCTAACGCTGGCGAAAATCGGTGTTTAAAAGCTTCAACATTGACTAAAAATGTATCAATCCGGTCTTTTTTTCTCTCTACATTTCCATATAAATGTTAAAAATAATGAACACAAACGAATCACCACCAAGATCAGACTCCAGAATTCACACTGTATATTCCTACGATTATAAATGTTCAAAATAATATGACAGGAGACAGATGATGATCAAAGTACATGTGTACAATATGCCTTTGCCACCTGAGTGTGCATCATAAACAGCTGACAGTCACTTGAGTAGAAGTACAGACACTTGTGTTAAAAATAAACAGAGAACTGATTCATCTTTTTTAAAGTAGAGACTCTGAAATGGACTCAAAGTGTAAAAGAAGCTCGCTAACAGTTTTAACAACATTATTTCAGCTCAGACTGATTCTATGAGTCTGAGCATCGTTAATGTAAAACAACAGTGAATTAAAAGGGAAACGTCTGTTTGTTGCCTCCATCGTGGTCGAGTTTGTGTGCACGCCTGAGATCAGTTGGAAACACGTCACAGCTTCTTCTGTAAGAGCAGGTGGAGGTGATCAGCTGCGCTCCTGCTCGCTCCTCTTCTGTGATGTTAGCTTGGTGCTGAAATACCACAACCAGGGTTCACTTTACCAAAATACTGTTTCTGTCACGGTCACAAGCCGTGTGGGATTTACTAAAGGACCCGAGATGCGGTCACTTCTGATGTGAGGAAGCTTTGTTAATGGAGGTGGTAAATACAGAAGGCGAGGGTGGAGAAAAACAGAACTGAGTCAACCTAAACTGGAAAAACGAAGCATAGAAAACAAACCTGAAACCTGAAGACACAAACAGAGATGCAGGGAAAGCACTCAGGATGACGGAAAAACAGGGCTGAAATACACACAGCAGTAATCAAGGGATGAGAGACAGGAGGGAACACAGCTGGGAGACATCAGAGCTGACGGGACAGCGGAAACGTAAAGTGAACACACTCACAGGAGACAGAGACTTTCAGAATAAAACAGGAAACTCACAGACACAGAACTGACAGACAGATTCACGAGCAGACAGAGAAGTGTGAGCAGGCACAGAACAAAACCTAACAAATGGCAAAACAACAAAAGATATAACAGAATAAACAAGAACATAGAATAATAGAAAGAAACACAAAGCAGTTTCACTTTAACCTCTGAGCGCAGTGCAATAAGAACTGATGATGGAAATAATGGATTGTCTGTGAAGAGTTAAATGTTTCTTCCTTTTAGACTCCAGTCAGTTATTTAAAGTGATTTAAGGAGTGACAGGAAACAATAACTGTTGAAATGTCAGAAGTAGAGATATTTGAGTTCAGCTGTGAGGAGTAAAAAGCAAAAACAACCTGTAAAGATGGCTGAAAACTCCACGTATGTATTTGTACTCTGTCTCTGATCATAAATATAAAATATGTTTTTAACCAATCAGAATGTGAACGATCCCAAATCCATGCACTGATCCTCCACTAGGTAGCGCTGTTGGCTTTCACCATGTCATCCCACTGCTTCAGCCCGACTGTGACCACAGACACTTCCTGTGACGATGGCGTGCTCATCTCCACGGCTGCGCTTGCATACCCACTGAGAGGTGCAGTCTGGTGCTTTGTGGCCGGGCTGCAGCAGGTCTGCACTGTGCAGCGTTTATGAGCAAAGAATATCACGAGCACTGGTCAGCAGCTCCCCGGCTTGTGCTCAGCTGCTCACTATGCTTCAAACCAGCAAACCCTGAGACCTTTGCACT